TACCCTAAAATGTCTTTTGGTCTTCCTTTGGAAAGTTTTTTCAGGGTCTGGCAGCAAAATAGTAATGGGCAGATCTTTACATCAGTAGCTTCTGTGTAAAAACCTAGATCGAGAACTTTATGAAGAAATGATGTTTTCCCTCTATTCTGAACATGCTCCTGAGCAGGGAATGATTTAAACACTTGTAGGAAATTCCCTTCAGGTTATAACTTTGGATATTAACTATAACAGTCCAAAAATAAAGTTTTGTGTAGCAATCATTCAACAACTCTTCTTCCCCAATACCTTGGGTTTAACCAAAGGGTTATCATCACGGTTCAGGTAAATCTCTCCCACTTCCTCACATTTTCATGTTATTTCACTTATGTGTGTGCTATTTGCCAGGTCCGGTACTAACTGCTATCTTAGAATTGAGTAAAAATTCAATCACAAGATGCTTTATAGTTTTCCTTTAGTTTATTTAATGTTTTCCTGTGTTGGCTACTACCTCTAGCAGTGGTTTTATTGACACTGAAATATTCTTGCATCTGTTGCCAATGTTGCCTTTGCCTCTGACTCTCTTCTTTTATTTTGGCTTACATCTTTGGTTTAGGTTCACATTCTCTTAAAAAATGCAGTTTATGTTAGATGATACAATGAGGTGCATTGTCTAATTCTCCTGACCCTGCTCCCTAATAAATTCTCTAACTTATATGCTTTGTAAGCATACATGAGCCGATTTTCCCACTTCGTATAACTCACTGAATTCAAGAAGTTGTGTTAGTGTCATATCACCAAGGAACAGTAGAATGCAAGAGTAGATTTTTGACTTCTTGTGAAACCAAATCAATGGTCACAACGATCACTGTATTTTATTTTGTGTTGGGTTCTCTGTTTGCAGTAACACAGACAAACTTTTAGACATACAAGCCCTGAGGCTTTACCTTATTTAGACAACATCCACAATAGCACAACTGCCGAATGTAACAGACATATATATCTGAAAGGGACTCTAGGTCCTCCTTTTTCCATTTAAGTTGATGAGACCACCCTGTAAGCAAGATCCAGCCTACAATGACAAAAGTCATTGATAGTCCCAATTCTGTGTTGCAAAGAAGAGTATAATTGTGAAATATATCTCTGAGCAGTGCAACATTGTTTACACTGGTGTTATTAAGAGCAGAATTCCTGTTTTGTTTCTATGAATTAACGTAAGAAAAGAATAACTCTTCAATATAATAAAATAACTCTTCTTTTATACTGTATTTGTCCCAACAGGCAGAGCCATATTGCAAAGTAATATCACTGGTGGGCTAGATAATGCACAAATGATAGGAATTGTTATCTATTGCCTTTACACATTCTGAACAGTGAAAGCAAAAGAGGCACATTAAATCTTTCAGTTCCCGTTATCCTGATGCTGCTGCGTTCAAGACTACCCCTCTTGCAATAGGTCAGAGCAACCTAAAGGTTTTCTAACTCATATTAGATATAACAAGACAGGAAAAAAAAAAAGAACCATACTCAAATTGTTTACATTATTTTGCTAATTACACACCTAGCAATTTAAGAGTGTCAGCAGTAATTGGATGGAATCCTAAAGCTTTGTTCCACTTACTGGATATGATACAATTAGTGACCTAAGGCAGTTCCACTGAAGTTTATTAAATTATACCGCCATAAACCAAAAGAAAGATACC